ACAGAGGGAACACAGTGGGGCGGGGGGGGGGTTGGGAGTGGGAGAGGGAGAAGCAGGCTTCCCACGGAGCAGGGAGCCCGATGCGGGGCTCGATCCCAGGACCCCCTGGGATCATGACCTGAGCCGAAGGCAGACGCTTTACGACTGAGCCACCCAGGCGCTCCTAGATTTTATTTTTAAGTGATCTCTACACCCATTGTGGGGCTTGAACACACAACCCCAAGATCAAGGGTCGCACGCTCCACCCACTGAGCCAGCCAGATGCCCCGGGTCATATTCTTTTTATTCTTTTTTCCTCACATCACATTCATCACAAGACATTAGCCCCGCAACTGCCTGGAGTGTTTGTGTCGTGGCTTTCACTTACCCCATCTGGTCAGACACTTTGCATGCAGCCATTAGTTTGATGTTATTAAAAATGCTGCAAATGTAAAAATGAAATCTTAAAACAAAAAAAACAAAACAAAAAAGGAGGAGGGGTCTGCTGGCTAGCTCAGCTATAGAGCATGCGACTCTTGATCTCAGGGTTGTGGGTTTGAGCCCCATGTTGGGTGTAGAGAGTACTTAAAAATAAAATCTTTTTATTTTTTTAAAAGATTTATTCATTTATTTTAGAGAGAGCACATGCGTGCATGCCTGCGGGGGGGGGGGCAAAAGGAGAGGGAGAAGAAGAGAATCTCCAACAGACTCCCCACTGAGCACAGAGCACCCCCAACGAAGCTGGATCCCAAGACCCTGCGATCATGATCTGAGCTGAAACCAAGAGTCGGATGCTCAACCGACTGAACCACCCAGGTGCCCCCCAAAATAAAATCTTTTAAAAAAATGCCAGAAAGGACATCTTTGGGCATGAAGCTTTTATATTGGGGCTGGTTTCCTTAGTGACCCAGGAAGGGATTTGTGAGGCCAAGTGGGTTTCCCACTGGTCCTCTTGGTCCCCTTGATGAAAGAATCCTAGGGAAGGGAATTTGTGAGGCAAAACACAACCTGCAGGGCCAGTGGGTGTCTGAGGAGGGGCACACGGTAGTGTGGGCTTCATGCACCCAGGACTTCCTGGAGATCCCCAGGGCACCAGGCTACGGGACCCCCCACAGCTGAAGAAAGGGGGCTGTCAGTTTAGGAAGATGGGTGGGTGAGGGGCGCGTGGGTGGCTCAGTCCTTAAGCATCTGCCTTCGGCTCAGGTCATGATCCCAGGGTCCTGGGACTGAGCCCCTCATCGGGCTCCCTGCTCCGCGGGAAGCCTGCTTCTCCCTCTCCCACTCTCCCTGCTTGTGTTCCCTCTCTCGCTGTGTCTCTCTCTGTCAAAAAATAAATAAAATCTTAAAAAAAAAAAAAAAAAGATGGGTGGGTGGAGCAGATCATCTTCTTGCATCTGCCCTAGAATCTCAGCTTGTCAGAACCCTGAGAGGCCGTAGAGATGGCGTGCTGTTGTCCGACCCTCTTCATTGTGTGGGTAGGGAAACTGAGGCAGACCTGGAGGTAAGGGACCAGCACAAGGTCACTGGGTTGGTCAGTAGCAGAGCCAGAACTGGAAGCTGCATCTAATGCTTTTTTCCCCTGCACCACAGTTGCTTTTGTGTGTATTCACTCATTCCTTCATTTCTTCACTGACTCACTCAGGATCATGTGGTGGGGAGAGCATGGACTTTCTAATGGCCGATATTCCTGGATTCCAGTCTCAGCTCGGCCTCTGTGTGACCTTGGGCAAGTGACTTCACCTCTCGGAGGCTCTCTGGTTTTAAATCTATATAAAGTGGGGACAACGATAGTAGCCCCTACTTGGCTTCTCCTGGAGCTGACCCATGACGCCACACGTTATAGGGTGGCATGGTGCCTGGCACAGAGAGAGCATAAGTGGTATCTGTCATTACTACTTTTTTTTTTTTTTTTTTAAAGATTTTACTTATTTGAGAGGGAGAGAGAGCGAGCACGAGCACGGTGAGGGCCGAGGGAGAAGCAGACTCTGCTGAGCAGGAAGCCCGATGTGGGGCTCGGTATCAGGACTCTGGGATCATGACCTGAGCCGAAGGCAGATGCTTCACCAACTGAGCCACCCAGGCGCCCCTCTATCATTACTACTACGAATTCAACGCACGTTACTCATTCTTCATCTTTCCCAGTCCCCGTACCATATCCCAGGGACATGAAGATGACTTAGACAGGGGCCCTGCCCCAAGAGCCACTTGGGAGGAGACTTTTGGGAGAGAATTCTGGTGAAGCCCTGGGGAAGGTGAAAAACAAACCCAACACGAAACCCCACAGCAGCCTGGCTTTGGACTGAGTTGGTTTTCATCCACCAGACTCCCGGTGCCTCAGTCGCGGAAGATGGTGTCATTGTTTACAAATCACTGTTAGGGGCAACAGCGGGAGAAAGAGCAAATGGCTGGCAGCTAACCGGTTCCAGCCCTTCCCAAGGGCTTGCAGCCCCGGACCTAGGAGCCGCGCACCGCCCCCCCCCCCCCGGGGGCTCCTTGCTCCAGCCACGGCTTGGAGAGACACACACAGGCCAGGACAGTGGCACAGGGTGTCAGACCTGATGTGAGACTTTGGGGGAAGTCGCTTCCTCTCTCGGAGGGCCTCTGGAGACTTTCCCTATCGAGTTTTGCCATCAGCCATTCCCTGGGCCAGATGGACAGAGTCTGACACTGAAGATATTTCTGCAGGCCAGGCAGGGAAGGGCTCCCTCTCATAACAAGAGCATGTTGACAGTGGTCTTAGAAGCACTGTACTTACCTGCAAGCCTCCAGAAGAGGTGATGGGCTTGGTTTGGGCAGAAGGCCTGGGAAAATGTGCTTTCTTCCTGGAAGACCCAGCGTGCCGGGGAAAGAGCTTTGTTTCCTGACTTCACAGGGTCTGAGTCTCTCCTTACCCCTGGATTCTCGTGGATGTGCTTTTTAATTGAGCCCAGATCTTATCAGGCCACCAGAAAGGCTAGTCAGACACCACAGGCCCCCATACGGGGGTGGTCCCCAGGGGAGGGTGGGGCCAGGAGATAGCCCTTCCCACCCATGCCTGAGACACTGAGAAGACTAGCAGATGCAGGCACATCTGGAAATATGCAACTGGACACCCCAGAATCTGTAGAATTCTCTAAGGCCCTTTGTTTTATGGGGAGGCTTCTGGCGGGTGTTTTTCTCATGCAAAGGGAAGTGAAGGGGCCTTGACTTTCAGGCTTCTTTTCTTTGGGAGATACAACTCACCACCCCCCCACAACACACACACCCTACCCGCCCCCCCCACACCAGATTTCCTAGGCCTCGCTCAAAGTACTTTGAGGACCTCTGGGTACAGCCAGATCTCTCTGTGCAGTTAGACTGGCGGTCAATAGTTGGGGTGGGGGGTTGTGCTGTGAAGATGTGTTTCTGTGCATGTCTTCCCCAGTGCATATAGTCTCGTGTGCAAAGGTATTGGGTGTAGATGGATTGCGTGTCTGTGCCCAAGGAAAAATGGTAAACACTTACTCTCTCTTTGGTATTCTTTTCATACCAAGCTCAGTTCTCATGGCACAATGCACCCCACCTCCCTCATAAATGATACTGGGGCGTGGTCGATTTGGAGAAGGAATCCCGCAGGTCACCACCTCCCTGGACTGGCTTTAATCCGGCAGCAGCTCTGCCCACCCCACCCTGAAACCTAAAACCCCCAGGGGGTCCAAGATAGCCAGTGGCTTCTCCACCTGATGGCGGTGGGGAGTAGGACTGCTGTCTCTTTCTTCCTCAAAGTAACTCTTTACTGACTGATTCCTTTGTGTTCTTTACACCACTGTGGTATTTCCCACTTACCACGAATCACCTTAAAAATTGTACCAACGAGAACTTACGGGATCTGTTGCCCGCTTAAAGGCAATTGCCAAGGGGGGAAAAAAAGGAGTCTCTCAACCATTGTGAAAAATGATTTGGTTTGTGCACATCTTCCGGAACAACGTTATCCAATAGAAATGCAACGTGAGCCACATGTGTAATTTTCCATTTTAAATTTTTTAGCAGCCACATTCAAAACACAAAAAGAAACCAGCAAAATTAATTTTAAGGATATATTTTGTTTAGCTCTGTTTATCCACAATATTATCGTTTCAACATGTAACCAGCATAGACATTGGTATTGAGGTAGCCTACCTTCTTTTTTTTCATACCAAGTCTTCAAATCTATTTCTGTGTTTTCCCCTACAAAGGAGCCACTTTGCGGCTAGTCCCATTTCAAGTGCTCAGTAGCCACCTGTGGTTAGTGGCTACCATACTGGAGAGTGTTGCTCAGCTCTGGAACCTTCTTTTTTTTTATTTATTTGACAGAGAGTGGGAACACAAGCAGGGGGAGTGGGAGAGGGAGAAGCAGGCTTCCCGCTGAGCAGGGAGCCCGATGCGGGGCTTGATCCCAG